CTGGATGGATTTTTCCAGGCTGGAATTATTCCTGATATCCCAACATCTGGAAGCCGTTCCCTCATCCCATCCCTCATTCCCTGGGAGCAGATTCCCCATCATTCCAGGCAGGAAATTCCAGAGGGAATTCCACCAGGCTGAGCCCTCCCATCTCCCTCAGCCCTTCCCGATTTTTCGGGATGAGCTCTTTGGAGCTCGGAAAGAACCAAAATTTCCCAAGCTGGTTTTTTTTTTTATGCTTAGACCCAATCCCGATCCCCATCCCGCTTCCCGGCGCAATTCCCGCTCTTCCCGCGCTCCCGCTCCGTCCGTGTGTCCGCACTTAACGCCCTTTTTCCATGGGCTTCTCTCGCTCCCGCCGCCGCCTCTCCCGCGCCCATTCCCGAAAAAATTCCCAGGTTCCGGAGGGGCTCTGTGCCAGCTCTCCCACCCTCGCCAGCCCCGCCGAGTACCAGAGCCCGGCCAATTCCCGGCGCACTCCTCCTCCCAGCCGGCACAACGTCTTCAAGCGCCACAGCATGAGGGTAAGCCCGGAATTCCCGCCGGGATTCGTCATCCGGGAGGAGAATTCCCAAAAAAAAAAAAAAAATCATCCAAAAAATCGTCGCGTCGGGATTCGCTTCCTTCCCGCTGCCGCTTCTTGCCGCTGCCGCTTCCCGCTGCTCGATGTTGGATCCTTTGGATGCTGTGGGGAAGGTCCAATCCCATTCCCGATAGAAATTTTTGGGATGTCTCCACGTGTGGTGTCTCCCCCCCTCCCCGTATCCTGGATTTTGCGGGATGAGCCTTCCCCAAAAAAACCCAAATCCCAAAAATCAGCGCGGAACTCGTGGCTGCCGCTCCTCGGGAATTCCGCGTTGGGATCCCACCTGAAATCCCAGACTTGGGGATTTTTCCAGCCGTGGGTTGGATTCCCAACTTTTCTGCTGGGAGTTGGGACGCTCCGAGCCGGGAATTGCCGGGAAAGCCGCGGTGCTGGAATGTGGTGCTGGGAGACGTGGCTGCCTCTCCTTGCCGGGAATCCCATTTCCCTCTTTTTCCTGATTTTTCCACCTTTTTCCCTACCTTTTTTGCCCCCACTTTCTCCCGTTTTTCCCACATTTTCTCCCATTTTCTCCCCTTTTCCCTCCTTTTTTCTCCCCTTGCCCCCATTTTTTTCCTCTTTCCCCCCTTCCTCCTATTTTTTCCTTTTTTTCCGTTTTTCCCTTTTCTTTCCTTTATCCCAAACTTTCCCCTTTTTTCTCCGTTCCTCTCCTTTCCCCTTTTTTTCCCTTTTATCCTTTCCCCCCTCTTTCCCCTCCCTTTCCCCTCCCTTTTCCCCCTCTTTCCCCCGCCATTCTCCCTTTTTTGCTTTTCCCTCCTTTCCCCCCTCTATCCCACATTTCCCCCCATTTTCCTCTTTTTCCTCCTTTGCCCTCATTTCCTCCTTTTTTCCTGCC